TTTTTCTAAATGGAGATTGGCTAAGCTAACGCTGTATATGCTCCGACCGTCCACACTCACAACAACGGCCTATACAGACATAAATAAACTAGCGACTGTATTCACCATGACACAGACAGTCTGTGGTTTGTACTTGTTTAACTTTTGTCTAGTTTCTGAACAGATATGAGGAGCTGTGAGCTGGAGTGCTAACAGCTAACGGCTGCTGTTGATTTTCTGGGGTTCTCACTGAAGATGACGTCGCGGCTCCGCCTACACTGTTACTATAGTTACTGCCCCAGCTCCTAAACTGTAATGGGAATGCGCCATAAAGTAAGCCAGTCCTAACATGGCCTAACGAGGGCTAGCCATACCGAGCGAGGCCGTGTGGGAGACAGCAAGCGCATTTCGTGGCATCTGCAGGCAGTGGCAAGTACTTCCAGCATCTGCCACAGAGGCCACTACTCTGTGGCAAGTACTTCCGGCATATGCCACAGATGCCACAACTTGCCGAGGCATCTGCCGCTGCTGAACGGGAGTTGCCACAAGATGTGTGTGCTATTTAAACCCGTATTTATTGTGTAAAATGTCGCTGTTTAGGCATGATTTTATCGAACTGATCTGTACACAGGACTGATGATCTGTACACAGGGTTGGGTTGTAACGGAATACATGTAACGGCGTTACGTAATCAGAATACAAAAATCAAGTAGCCTAACTGTATTCAGCTGGCGTTACATTTGAAAAAATAATCTGATTACAGTTACTTTCGTAAACCTGAAGTGAATACATTTTGGAATACTTATTGGAATTATTGGTGGGAAAGTTTCCTCACAAAATGTAATATTCATTACCGGCAGAACTGTGTGCACAGCGCAGCAGCATGTCTGTGAGGCCCCGCCCCCGCACGCAGATGAGAGAGAGATCTCTTTTTAAATATATTGAAAGTTAGAAAGGGAGATGGTTCGATAAAACGTGCAAAATAACGTTTATGTAGCATTTCTTTATCGTCGAAATGATGACATTTCATAACGGGATCAAATCAAAGTGAATGGCTTGCTGCTGCTGAAGGCATGGGGCAAATATAACTGCCCTTTGCCTAATTTATAAAGTAAACCTTAGCATCTCACTAGCAGTGGCAACTGCAATCAGTTACAGCTGCCCTAAGTCTGTAGCCAAGTCTAATAACACCAGTGTACACGTTGCTGTGTCAATACAGATATTTATTTGTCTTTACTAGTCATAATACACCTGGTTTATCGTAGCAAGCAGTGGAAACTCCCCTCAAGAAGCGACAATTCAATTGCCAAGGGCGTTGCAACCCTCACTCGCCAATAATTCATCATAAATATAGCACGTTTGTTTATTTTAGCAAACCATGCTCCAAGTCAAATTGAATAGAAATGATAATGTATAATATTTTAGAAAAATAGAGATCGCACATCAGTCCTGTGTACAGATCAGTTTGATAAAGTCATGCCTAAACAGCAACATTTTACACGATAAATACGGGTTTAAATAGCAGCATTTGCCATGGAAGGCGAGTGGCAGCTACCGTAAACCTTCTCTCTCTGGCATCTTGTGGCAACTCCCGTTGAGCAGCGGCATGAGGCCTCGGCAAGTTGTGGCATATGCCGCAAGTACTTGCCAAAGATGCCAAGGAGTAGTGGCATCTGTGGCATATGCCGGAAGTACTTGCCACTGCCTGCAGATGCCACGAAATGAGCCAGGCCCTACTGGGCCGTGTGGTGGAAATGCGCCATTAGACGGCGATGAAGCAACATTATATTTTAGCTGCCAGTTGTAAGTGAAAAGTGTGGACGAATGGGCAAGTTGATGGGGCGTTTACTTCATGGTGGTCATGCGTGTTGACTGAATAAACTCAGACAATATGTCGCTTTAATGCCCCTGTGTGGCTAAAGAACAATGATGCTGTGGAAAGTCAACCAGCCAGTCAATACAATAAGCAGTCTGGGCAGGTAAAGTATGAGTGAGGGCCGGGGAAGGTAATCATGTTTAGTGCTGCTGGAAAAAACACATGATAAGTAGAGCGTGGGAGGGGCGTGTTGGTTTACTGCATGCACTGGTTCAAGTCGAACATCTGGACAAGCCTTGTGTTGGACACGGAGCCGGGGTCAGGGGTCAAGCATCAGAGGAGTTACCTTTCAGCGAGGCTTTAGTTGACAGCTGAAGAACCTCCAGACGAAGAGAGCCTGGAGACGGCGTATGGATGGAGGGAGGGGTGAAGGATGGGTGAAATAAAGGGGGTAAAGAGTGTAGGAGGAATAGTGGGCGGATAATAAAATGAATGGGAAGATGAGGAATGACCAAAGTGGAGAAGAAAACCTCATAAGTTTATTTACCTATTCATTAGGAAACTCTGCACATTGAAAAATACTGATGCATATGTACTTATGTGTTATACATTTCTGTGTTCACCGCCTTCTCCGTTATTTAATCTTCTCCGTTATTTAATCGTTAGCAGAAATATACATCCCGTGAATATAAGGCACGTGTTTGCTTCCTGGGTGACGTCACTCTATAAAACGTGAGGGGGCTGTAACAACCTTGCCAGCACATGCATGGTCCGCGTTACCGCCGTACAATGGTTTAAACGTGTAGTTGTTGCTCCAAAGCAGCAACTTAACTGCACGTAAATGAACCCAAATCGTGTGTAAATGCACTGAAAGGCCCCAGTTTACACCTACCTTTTAAATAGCATTGCTGCTAAAAAATAACATGCGGTTACCTTTAACCCTACAAGTGTGTAGCTTTAGCAAATAAGGGTCCTGAACGCAACACAAATCACCAGTTAACCAATAAATGCTTTGCATTTTCTTGGACAATTCTTCAAGGTTTATACACGTACAGCAATTCGATAAAGTGAATGGTTTCAAAATAAATGGCACAAGCACGCAGAATGCCCTGCTAAGCTTCAGCACTAATTATAAGCCACATGGCAGACAAGGAAAACGATATACACTAGTCAAGCAGCTAAAGTTAGAGGAGCAAAAGGCTGCCTCACTGTTTTATCAGTAATGCCATATGGCAGAGACACCTAAACTGCTACCGCAAGGTTTTCTGCCAGGAGAAGGATAGTGAGTTAGTATGACCTCTATTGCTATACTTACCAGGCTTGCTGGAGCCACGTTTCCCTTTTTTACTCCGTGGCATTTCAAGTAGCGCTTTGATCCACGGATCACAACAAAGCTAGCTGATGTTATGAAGCTAAAGTTAGCCTGTTTTCCGTCCAACTGCCAACAGATGTGACAGTCGGTGTGAATGTGGCAGCAGCAAAGTGACGAAGGTCTCCTTGGTTTATCTTGACAGCTTGGTACAAAGCTCCCAAAATTACAGCTGCTCTCACACTTTTGTTGACACTTTAGCTAACGCTGGCTAGCGTTCTTCCCGAGCACCAAACACCAGCAGCGCATTCAACAACTCCCAGCTTTCTCCAGTTTCGGATAAAAAGAGTTGTCCGGATGCGAAAAAGTCACCTCCTTCAACGGGGTTGGCTATGTATTATCTATGATTGTCTCCCGGTAATCTATATCTAATGCCAGGTGGAGATATAAATGTTTTTCCAAAGTGTTTAGGACGGAGTAGTGAGCACGCTGTGGTCGCCAAGTCCACCATCTTCCTCAGTAAACTGCAGAACTAACCGGCAGCGCGGGTTGCCAGGTTGGGTGTGTGAGCAACCCGTTTCCGGTATCTGAGACTAACCCCACATTATAAGTGATCTTATGGATGGGCCAATTTTGAGTTAAGTACAATTCTGGATAAAAAAATTATATAGGAGAAATACATTCAGAAATCTGAGGGTGTTGACATTTTAAGAAAAAGCAGAGTGAATCAATTAAAAATAACTTTAAATTGAAATTGATTTTTAAAGAATAAATCAGAATACTAACATAAAAGTCACAACCTAAAGCTTATTTTCGTTAGCCTACCATACCGACATGTGCCACTTAGAGTTTTCATTCTTATGAGACATATGGCATTAATCCTTCCTGTTTCATTGGCTCCTTCCGACCCTTTCTTTGAGAAGCCATTCTGACTGACCCAAGTAATATAGAAAGAGAACACTTGAAACTATCTGATAAATATTCAAATTAGCTGTGACGAAAAAAGTACACCTTCAAAACAAAGATGACAAATACCGACAACCTATAGATCAGTAGTTTTATTTCTATATTAAGAATGTTATGGGTTTTTTTGTACAAAAAATACATTCAGAGCTTAATACTCAAAGACAATACAATTACATTTCATTAGTTGCCAGACAAAACACATTATGACAATTAACACATTTTCAAGTTAGGTTATCAATAAACCACATTTCTCTTTCAGGTGCATCATATTGTAAACAGTCTGGTTATGTTTTATCTGATGTGGTGATCTAAACCGAACCTTCTCAAAATCTCTCCAACACTTTTGTCATTTAACATATCTCTGATGAGGTGTTGGAGAGATTTTTAGCTGGCCATGTTTGACCATCCTTGTTTAAGCCTTAAACGATCAATAATTTGCATTAAAAAAAGACAGTGATTTAACATCAGCAGAGCCATTTGGTATGGCTTTGTTTTGGTCCAGCGGTAAGAGAGTCAATTATGTCATGTTTCATTAGCGAAACCTATCTTCTATAACAAAAAGTTAATTAAATGAGTCCACAGTTACGGGTTTCTGTCTTACTGAAAGTGCAGTAAGTGTATTCAGTTAACCTGCAGTCTAGCTTTAAAATACAAAAAAAACTTGGTCTGCAAACCGTGTTAACACAGTATCTTGGCCCTACAGTCATACATACATTCTCAGACTCAACAATACTGTTTGTAATTAATTTCCAGCATACATACTGTCTCTATAAAAGTTTATCGTTTTGGATTATTTTCTCTTAGAGGACTTGCCAATGAAGGCATTAAGTCTTCCATTGGTATTGCATTGCTGGAGGTAAACAGGGGTACGTCATTGGTGAATATGGGACAGAGTGGAGGAGTGGTCCAGTGTGAGTGTATGTTTCTTTATGTGTGTGTCTCTCCTATCCAGAATAGTAGTTGGTGGGGACGAAGGGCATCTTGCTGACGGTGGCGGGCACAGCTTTTTTCCTGACCTCAACCTGGATGGCTGTTCCGTTCTTAGCAAATGCCGAATCCACGTAACCCATGGCAATGTTCTTTTTTAAGCATGGAGAGGGGCAGCCGCTGGTCACCTCACCTAAAAACACAGCAAAGAATATGTTAAACATTTAAAAATCTGTCTGTCATTTATTCACACAAAAGCTAAATGCCGGGACTGCTATGTACTTTGGACCGTAGACTTTATTATATATTGATATATTCACAATTTGGCTTATGCAAGCAAAATAACATCTGAAACGAGGTTTCAACAAACATTGTAAAACTGAATTATGTATAGTATTTACTGTGAAGTTAAAAAACAAAAACAAACAACAAGTTGTAAAAAGTGCTAATTCTGCACCCCCTAGTGGATTACAAAAAAAATACAGCACTGCTTGTAAAAAAAAGTTCAACAAAACTACTTTGTGGCTTTAATATTGACCTTTTTTTACCTAAAACAATTCTTAATAATTTCACTATTTCACTCCAGCAGTGATTTATTTCCGCTCTTAACTGAAATACACAGCCCTCTCATGTCCACCACTTCCACTGTGTTTGCGTTCTGACCTATGACTTTTCCATCGGGGCTGAGTATAGGTGTGTGTTGTCTGACGGGGGGGCCGGTGGACACCAAACCGACTCTCTTCCTTGCTGTCTTGGCTTTTATCTGAGGAACAATGATGTCAGCACCAGGGAAATCCTTTGTCTGACGCCGCCGCTTACCTATATATATGAGAGACAAATAATTAAGAGTTAACAGTGAACAGACTGCAGTGTATATTCAAAGCTCAATAAAGTGTTTCTTCGTGTTGTGAAGTGATGTGTTGAAAAGATAGTCTGGGTTTTTTTGCTAAATTGGTAGGCAGTTGATTAGATTAGACCTGAGTTGAATGATTCAATGTTTTCGTACAATATTTAAATCATGTTCTCATAATTTAATTCTACAAGAATAGACTGCAGTCAAAAATATAATAGGGATTAAATGTGGAGCAATTTCAGCATAGCATGTTCTTCTGCAATGTGAAGTCTGTTCAGTTTCTATGGTTCAATGTCAAGACAGTTGCCGGAAATTCATGCCGTCTCCTTTATTATAGTTATATAAAAGGCACTGACATTCATTTCAGATCTTTTAGTTCTATATTTCATTTTTTGCTTTCAAACCAGGCCACATTGTTTAGGATTAGTTGGCAGTTCTCCTAAAAGCTTTATAGCGTCAATTTCCAACCTGCTTATTTTAGCAAAACCCTGCAACACTTAAATATTAACTTAAAAAATCTATCTTTTTTTAATGACTACTATAATCTCACCAATGGTCCAGACCAGCGTGCCTTCCACAGGTGTGGTGGTCTCATCTATGTCGTTGCCATAGAGACAAAGCCCCGCCTCCAGCCGCAGACTGTCCCTGGAGCCCAGCCCCGCCAGCTTCACCTCGCTGTGAGACAGCAGCTTCTCCGTCAGCTCCACCACTCTGGAGGCCGGGACGGAGATCTGCAACACAGAGACACAAAGGGTGTAGAGTTGGTCTCCATCCAAGGAGGTTGAATGCAAATTATGAACCGGAAACAGCATTTAAACTCATCAATATTGAAATAATAGTCGCTTTTTGAAAGAAACTTTTTCTATAAGGATATATTCGCAATAAAAAGATCATGGAAACTACAAGTAATGACATCAAGCATGGTCATTTAAGCCTTTTTATGCGCTTTAAAGATATTTAACTAATGAGCATACAAAAACACAGAGTGAGTCGAGTGAGTCTTAGCACTGATAGTAAGATGAGTTTGTATGATTTTAGATCAACAGAAGCAGACTCCCACTTTCCCTCTGTTAGACAGAGAGGAAGAGACACCCACATGGTATCTACAGAGCTCCAGCAGAGTGGGCAGAGACAGAGAGTAAAGAAGACTCAGGCTGCAGTTTGCTTGTTTAACAGTGTTAATATATCACTGTGTTTAAAGTGTAAAAACCAAATGGATTTAAACTGGAAACCCAGCTCTGTCACTTGAGATCCGTGTGTTTAATGACATTACACATATAGGATGTAAACGAGTAAACTATCAAATATAAAGAAACACAAACCATCTGTACAGATTCAGCCTGTATTTTTTTAGATATTGTTATTATTTTACGAGAACAATGGCACACAGGACAGGTAAAAGGTGTGAGTACATATAACATTTGTTATTGTTTATTAGCGAGTGACTCTGTGGATGCTAATGTCTTGTATATTAGTCCATTAGTTCAGTCAAACAGAAATATGAATTTCTTATATATCAATTTCCCTCCCTGTCATTTTGTATACGGTTCTAATAGAAAATGTTGTCATTATTATATTTGTATATATTTCCAAATGATCTTAGTATTGAATTTATATTATTCACCAATGATTCTTATATTTGTATTAGGTGTATCACGATTTACCATAATTGACTAATATCTGTGATATTATATTATATATATTATTATGAAATGAAATAAGACATGCTAATAATGCACACATGATTATATTGCGTGAATAATTAAGCGTCTCTTGAAAGTTTCCTTCTGTTTCTTACTTTCTCTGTTAGGGTTACAAAATCTCCAACTCCTCACATTTGTATTCTGAGTGCCATTAATTTGCACAAAAATGACAAAACACACAAATTAATTTGACTGATCAATTATTATTAAGATTATTTACATTTTCTATCGATATCATTTGCTATTGTGAACTCTTCTGGCCATCATAATATTGTATTGAAAGTCTTAAATAATCTGCTCTAATTTTGCACACATCCTAATCCTGTCTTTAAGATCCTACTGGTTTTCCCTTGATTTCTCCTCTGCTGCCACCATCAGGTTCAATATTGTGTTTCTGAGAGATATTTCTCACAGAGAAATCTGATGGACACATTCAGAGGGAACATCTACAATGTGTGAAAGTATAGCTTCATTAATGTATTATTTGCTCAATGTCACTGTCAGAAAAAAAGAGCGATGCTCACCTCCACCCCGTCCTCTCCGGTGTATCCACAGCGGGTGACCCTACAGCCGGAGATACCGAACACAGTGGCCAATGCGGAGTTCATGAAGGTCAGCTTACTGAGGTCCTCTTTCAGGCCCTGCTGGAGCACCTGAGCCATGGACGGACCTGACAACACACAACACAACTAATAAACTATTCACTGCAACCTGGGGAGCCAGACACAGAGGAGCTCAAAAATGATAGAAAAGGGTTCATTATGGGGCAAAGAAAGCGACTGAGATAATGTAACGAAAACTGGTGAAAGAGAGGAATTAAACAGAAGGATAGAGGGAGTGGTAAAGGAAAGGAATAAAGTAAGGAAGCATTTTTTACCTTGCACAGCAATAAGTGCTTCATCGAGGAACTCCATATCCACATCAAGACCTGCAGCTTTGAACTCTGCCAGCCTGGCCTAAAGGAAATGGAAATACACACACACACACACACACACACACACACACACACACACACACACACACACACACACACACACACACACACACACACACACACACACACACACACACACATCAGTGTACTACAATCCCAACCTGTCTGTCTACACACACCTCGGTCTGCTTTTACCTTCATACGAGCCGAGTCCTTGTCGGCGCAGCCCGCGTTGGACACGACGTAGAGGTAGCCCTGGTCTGTCCTCGTCACGATGAGGTCATCAATAATCCCTCCTTTCTCCGTGGTGAAGAGGGACAGTGTGCCCTGGGGGTGAGGGAGGGGGAGAGAAAAAAGATGAGTGGGTGAACACATTACTTACTTATGCTCTGTTTGCAATAAATGTGTGTTCGATTATCAAATCATCCTATGTCTCTTTTTATGTTCAATAATACTGTCTGTTATTTCTTCTTTTTAAAAGATCTTACTGTATCTGCAGTAGCTTATTGTGTTGTATGTATCTGCTTTTGCTGGCCTGATTGTTTTTATATATTAGGTTGCCTGTACTTTCTTTTTCTGTAACTCATAGTGATTTCTGTGACTGTAAATTGCTTTAAATGCACAAAATGGTGGAAAATTACACAAAGATCTATCTGGAAATTGAGTTAAGAAAAGTGTAGTTTTCTAATCGTCCGGCGACATTAAGCATATCCTGAACTGTCCTTACCATAAAATGACCTTGTAAGGTTTATCAAATATTTGTTTACGATGTACTTTCTTTTCATTGGGAAAAGCTACAATCACCAGACTCAGAAGTTGCCCTCAGCTCCAAAGAGTATTTTAGAGTTTTTCAGCTCATAGTTTTGGTCTACATGCAGGCAGCTTTACTGCTTTGTTTTGAGGGAGCCACTTTACACTACCAAACAGACGCAGGTAACAATTATTGGAAAACATAATGGAGCATTTAGCAGCTAAGGAGCAAGATATTTGGCGTTGTTTAGAGCTAAAATGAGAGTGAATAGTGAACTCAAAGGTATTACACAGTCAAAATGAATGTTTGAATACCCCACTGTTCGCAATCAAGTTCCCCATACTTAAACAGTTGAGAACATGTCTATGTGGTCAAAAAGGGTCACTCAAAATGAACCAATCCTCCATCTCACCTGGTTGTCCTTGAGCTCTGCAATATCTCCAACGACTAGAGACTCCATGAACTTCACCCTGTCTTTGCCGTGGACTTTGGTCTGAGAGAGAAAAAGCAAAAGGATATACCGGTAGTTGAATGCAGCAATGACAATGTTTCTTTGGGTACATTCGTGGATCAAATCTAATAGAAAAACTCCATATCTTGATTTTGATGATGTGAGCTTGTATTTATTAACCTGTGTTCACTTTGTGTAGTGTGGGTATTTGTGTGTGTCCTTGTGTACTCGTCCCACCTGCAGCATGTGGCTGACATCGAAGATGGAGCAGTGCTCTCTGGTGTGCATGTGAGAGGCGATGTGACTGTCTTTGTACTGAACAGGCATACTCCAGCCTGCAAACCCCACCATCTTCCCCCCCTGCTCCCTGTGGAAGTCAAACAGCGGGGTCTTCTTCAAGGCTTCCTGCGGGAGATAAACTCTTTACTGAGTGTACAAATAAATAGAAACACAGGTAACACACAAAGTCAATTTTGATATAATAATTATAATACTAAATAGTTGAACTTAAACGGAGCAACAATAAGGATTTTAAAATATATCCATTGTTTAAATGTTATCCCAGTGATGTTTGTAGAATTTAGGAGACTGTTTCTAATAAATACATTTGAAAAAAGACAGGTGAATCCTTTCTACACTATGGTCTTTTCTTTACTTATAACCTTTGAACGCACCAGTTTAGGGGGCTTATCAGCACAGCAGCAGAAATGCATTATGGGGCAGAGTGTGTCGGCACTTTACGTAACACTCAATTGTTATTTACGAAAGTGTTCAAGTCCAAAGTCATTCATTCATTTGAATGAACATAAGAAAGGTGGTTGTGTTGGTTGTAAGTTATAATAAACTACTAGTCATGGTAAGGACTTTACTCTTTTTACCCTCTTTGCTTTCTGCAGAACTCTAAGATAAATCCTAGTATACAAATCATGTTTATATGACAGTATAGAAAAGGGATACACTACACAAATAAGAACCTTATATTAGAAGTATAAATAAATAAAAATATGCCACTGATCATTCCTAACTTCCTCAGTGAGTGCTAGTTCAAATGAGTGAAGACGTTGCTGAATGAATGCATGTGTGAATCTGTCTCATTTCCCAGCTCCTCATTCAGTAACAGAGAATTACTGACAGTAGAATCAGTCACTCGTGGTTGTAATAAAATCACGTTGTGCAGCTCAGCTCAGTGAAGCAGGCAGGATGGCAGTCTGCTGGGACAGATGTACATTATGTCTGCATGACCTGACTGCTGCTGTGACACACTCTCATCTAGTTATTGTACTATGCAACAACACTGAAGGAGACAGTGATTTATTCTGAGTTTTATATGAGCAAATGCCAGAGACAACACAGCTCCAAAATCGATTGCACAATGTATCTGAAAAACTAAATCTCAAATATGATCCAGTTAAATACTTAACTGAGGACAATCAACACAGATCATGACTCTTACACAAATAAAGCTATACGAGTATAACAGTGATATCTTATTAAAAAACAACAAAAAGGGCCACAGATGTTTACAATATTCAGTTGTAGCCATAATAGGAATGTTGTACTGATAACATGGCACAAAACATCATCGCCCACCGAGAAATCAGTTAAAAACCAACGCATATGCACTCCGGATAAATTGTAACGATACCGTGCAGTGACCCTTCACTGGGCACTTACTTCTCCGCTTGAAGCCTGCCTCCTCCCCGCACATGCAGCTCCCCCGACCCGCAGCAGACCCCGGTGGTCCCTGGAAGCCCGCAGCCCGAGCCCCGAGCCCCCGACCCCAGCCAGCAACCGAGCCCACATGATGCACCCGAGTCCCCGCGGAAGTCTCTCACAAACACGCTGCTGGATGATAGGGGAACAGTTCCGCTGTAACCAAACTCTGAGCAGCACTCACTCTGGAATTCCTGCACTTCTGGCAAAAACACATGAAGCGAACGTAGATGGAGGAAGGAGCAAAGCCTTGTGGGAAATGTAGTTTGCCTTGCAACAGTTCACACTGGTAAATGAATGACTCGCTCTTCAACAGATCAATACAAAGATTGATTTTAGGCATAATGTCCCAGGCCCAGGATCACACCATAAGAATAAGAAGAGCCATAGTATTAGTATAGTTAAATGCAGTGGTGTAAAGTAACTAAGTACATTTAAGTAAGTAGCCTACTTAAGTACAATTTTGAGCGATTTGTAGCCTACTTTTACCTCACTACAATTCAGAGGTAAATCTTGTACTTTTACTCCACTACATTTATTTAATACCTTTAGTTACTTTGCATATTTTTGTTTTGTTTAATAATGTGTGATATAATCAATCAATCAATCATGATATAATCAACACTTAAATAAGACTTTAGTTACACCTGGAGTAACATTCACATCATCAGTCATTAAAACTAGCTTCACCTTTACCAGCTTTGATAACACTTAACGCATCAATAATTAAAATCAAAACATAGCCGAATTATATATTATTCTGAAATGGACCAATCTGCATAATGAGTATACTTTTACGTTCGGAACTTTAAGTATAGTATGTTTGTACTTTTCCTTGAGTAACATTGCATGGCTTTTGCATGTAACAGAGTATTCCTACACTCTGGTGCCTCTATTTTTTCTAAAGTACAATATGAGTACTTCTCCCAAGTGTGTCTTCAGGTAGCTTCCTAAACGTATCTTTCATTTCAGTTTTAGGAGTTCTACTTCGCCTTATTCTTAAGTTGCATATCTAGTAGTAGTATATGGTTGGAGTTTTTTTTTTTATTAAGGTTTGTAAACACTTTACACGATCTCCACTTAAGATTGCAGTGTTTATTGTGGGCCTAATAGTTAGAGTAAAACAGATGTACAATATTAGGAAAAAAAGTTAAATATTACAAGGTCAAACTTGGTGAACAAAAATGGACCAGGTTTGCATATGTGGTCCAAAGCTAGTCCGAATCACATACGCCAATTCAGCACCAAATCATTAGACTAATAGGTTGCAACATCTGGAAGTCCAAAGGACAGACAGAGGGAATGACAGACACGTTGTAAATAGTAGCAGTACAGAATTGCTAATTTGCTTATTCTCAATGACATTTGTCCATGTAAGTATTTGTGTGTGTGTTTATCATGGACCCCATCATGCCCTCACCTAGATCATTGAGTCATCCTTTGGCCTGAGGAACTATTAATAGCCCAAAGCTCTGCTGCTATTTCGGGCCTTGAGGGCCTGCAGGGTTGGGTTTGTACATGAGCATTTATTTGGGAGGGGGTTGGCGCAGGACAGCTATGGTGGGCTAAATCAGAACATACAGACAAAAACAAACTTAGTAGGAGGTGGTGGGGGTAGTCGGCAATTGCTCAGTGACACACACACAAGAAGGCAAGAGCCGGAGTTTCCCTGTTGCTTTCCAACATTGAGGATTTGGCTAGAAATGAATGTTGGGATATCATTTGAGTTTGGTTGGATTACTTCACTGTGTGGCTCCTGGTTAACCTTGGATATTTAATGTTTCTGCTCTTGTGGGGGGGTGCAGACACATGTTTTGGTAATCGGGTGTCAGAGTGTGAGGAGACCGTGTGAAAGAGAACAGCGGCAGACTGACAAGAACAAACAAGCAGACGCATATAAAACCCAACACTGCTCCTGTTGTAACAGACGGTAAGTGGGGACTGAAGAACAGTTGTTTTATGGTTTGCTACACAGTGTCTGTAGTACTCAGGTAATGAGTTAGTTAATCATTCATTCATTGAGTAAGTCATTACTCATTAGATTAGACTCTGTCATGTCCTTTGGTCCTGGATTCAAATTCCAGCAATTTTGTGCGTTTATGGTTTTGACAATCAGCTCTATAAATAACTCTGATAAATAACTTTTCATAATTCTCTTTTCATTGTATCCTTAGAATATATTGACTTTTTTCCCTCCTTTCTCTTCAACTTTTAGAACCAACCCGTCATATCCTCATTTATATTATTTACCGACATAATATTTTATATTTATATTAAATTAAACCAGATCCAAACATTCAATCCATTCCATTTTTTGGTCAGTCAAGAGTAGACCATAGGGCACCTGCAGTATCCGAGGCAGTGTCTTCAGAGCTTCCCTCACACACCATCTTATTGGATGCTTTTTTTCTTTTTTTAAGAAGTTGTCTCTTATGGCTTTGAAAGACAATACTGTGGGGAGCTACAAAGCACGCCTTTAAGAATATTACATAGCTTACAAAGCAGACATTCGGTGGAAAGAAGTTGTAACGAGTGAAGCGCCATCTGTCCATCCCTGAAGAGGCGAGATGTCGAGGCCCCCGTCCTCCCAGACCACCCCTCAGTTCTACAGGGTCAGCGAAAGAGATCTCACCGAGATCGAGCTTCATTCGGTGGAATCCATCAACGATCTCCACCGAACACACCATGAGAACAGCAACAAAGGTACACACACACACACTTTGAAAACAGCCCAAAAGGTGCACACACACACACACACACACACACACACACACACACACACACACACACACACACAGACAAACAAAGGGTACACACACGCACACACACACACAAACAAAGGTACATAGTCTTTGAACAGTCAAAAAGGTACACACACACACACACACACACACACACACACACACACACACACACACACACACACACACAACAAACACACACACACACACACACACACACACACACATTATTATTATTAAAGATGTCAATCAATCTGCACTAGCCTTCATACTGTGACACAAGGGTACACAGGGACAGTTGATTCACAATGACCATCACCTGTCCAGGGGAGACATCAGGGGGGACGCCCTGTAGCTCGCTGACGGAGCCATTTTGCAGATTCAGCACGAAAATTACCGGAACGCTCTTATTGTTTAAAGCCTCGCCCCAGTCTTCACAGTACACACTCCTGTCCTGTTCAGGCACAATTTAACACACAAGCTAAATAAACGACATACACATTATTAACACTTTTGTGTGTAGTTAATGACAAAAATGTATTTTGGGTGAAAAATGTGTTGTACAATAGGTTATATCCTGCTGGTGGACTCACAATCTGCATGTTATTCATCTTAATGCACCTAAAAACAATATCCAGTGTGTGTGTGTGTGTGTGTGTGTGTGTGTGTGTGTGTGTGTGTGTGTGTGTGTGTGTGTGTGTGTGTGTGTGTGTGTGTGTGTGTGTGTGTGTGTGTGTGTGTGTGTGTGTGTGTCCATGTGCACATTGGGTGTGTGTTCAGAGATGCTGGTGCAGCCACAGCACTGTGTTGAGGAAGCAGTCGGCCTGTGTATCCACTCTGGACAGAGAGTGTCCGTCTTCTGGAAACCACAACAATCTGCATGGACAAACAGATTTTAAGCATTGCCCATTGTTTTGTCTTAATAATAACAAAAAGGAGTCTTCATGAGGGTGAGGGTTTAACTAAAGGTGTGTTTAAGCTGAAGTTAAACCACTTGTAGGCTTTTGTGTTGGATCAGATTGTGTGGATGTCTTTATTTGTGTATTTAATGTTTGCTTCACTGTACCTGACGGGTGAAGCTCTGCTCTTCAGCACTTTGTAGAGCTCCAGCCCCTGATGAGGGGACACTCTTCTGTCTTTCCCCCCCAGCATCAACAACACTGGAGCCTTAATCTAAAAACAAACACACAGATAAACACACTGAAATGAAACCCTTTATAAAGTATGTTGTCTCTTGACAAGCTGCAGTCCATGGCATGGAGACATTTTAAATTGTGTATTGAAAAATAGTTTAGAGTAGTGATTCAAACCATAAACACAACGGAATAAATGTTTACAGAGTAATCCATTAGTAACTGAGATATAAATCAAGTGAGAAGAAGGTAATTGTTTCATAAACTTCTATACAAGCAAAGTCCTTTTTGCAACCAGTGGAGTCATCACTGCTTGCCATATTTGGAAGAATGCAACACTTTTCTATGATATCCTCTCCCGAGGTTTAAGGAGTAATGAGCATTTTGGAAGCTGTAGGTCATAGTCTTGTTATCAAGGCAACTTTATAAATGGCAAAACAAAAATAACTTACAAAAAGTTGTATTTTATATGCGTACATTATGATGTACAAAATGCATTTCAGGAGTGTGTGTGTCTGACCTGAGCAGCATGTGTGATGGGGGACTTCTCCAACATGGCAGCCAGGGCTTCAGCAGTGGGGATCTGGTCATACGAGTACTGAAGCCCCACACTGCTGTAACGCCTGGAGACACAGAGCCAGGTTAGGAACATGGGATGTGATGCAGTTAAAGCTCACGTGCTGACGAGTGTTTGTGAACATGTTTGTCTCACCAGTCCACTATGTCACTGGTGCCCAATAAGGTGGCAGCATTAATGACAGGGTTCCTGGCCGCACACGCCCTGTAGAACTCTGGGTACTGACCCACCAGATGACAAGAGAGGAAACCTCCGTGAGATCCACCAATCACAGCCAGTCTTTTGGGGTCGAGGGTGATGTCACTCTGCAGCGCTGTGAGCACGGCCCTCTGGGTGAACACACAAATTATTTTCACTTTGAGGGTGACACTGGGCTGTGGGTTCAAATTAATTGATTGTTACCTGTGTGCAATTAGTATTTTTTCCATATTTATCTCAAATCAAGTCCTCAATATTTGAATATTAATAATATTTTCCTTTTTGTTTTTTAAACTTTAATCTGCCCATGACTTATGGTCAGCTAGTACCTGCACATCCTTTACATCCTGCGTTCCGATATTACCGATCAGGGACAAAATGCTATCCTGTCCGAACCCTGTGGATCCCCGGTAGTTCACTGGATAGAGAGACACAAAGAGGAACAGAAGAAAAAAGAGAAAAATCAAAAAGGAAAAAAAAAGCCTCTGTTAATGTTAATTTAGGAGGATTTATGTTTGAATTTTACTGTTTTCAACACAAAAAGCAAAATGGTTTAGGTTTAAATTAGACTGAATCCCCAAAACTTTTGGGACAAAATACTGGTTATTTAATGTCTTACTGAGAGTGGTGCGTGTATGTGTGTGTGTGTGTGTGTGTGTGTGTGTGTGTGTGTGTGTGTGTGTGTGTGTGTGTGTGTGTGTGTGTGTGTGTGTCTCACCCATGAGCACAGCGAAGCCGAGTTGAGCCAGTCCAGCTGTGGTGCTGTTCCACTCAGCTGGGAACTGTGAGTGGGGGCCACCTGGCGGAGCACACAAACATTAAAGAAAACATAATAAAACTTAGGCAATATGTTTTTACGGAAACAGAAATACAGCAATCACACAGACAAGTAAACACAGACCAGGCAACCAAATAATCGCATCGGCACAAATGCCCTAAGTCCCCTACTGCATTGCATTTCCCTACAACCTTTCTATTTCCTGTCTTTATCTGCAATCAAAAAATGTGCGCACAACACTTTTGTCAAATAAAAAGTCAACAGACCGTGGATGAAGACGACCAGAGGTATCTTGGTTTCATGTAGGCGACGAGTGGGTTTAACCAAAATAGCCCCAAAGTCTAAACCAGCTGATGAAAGACAAATAAAGAGAGAAACTTGTATATTGAAAGAGCGATTGATCGTCATCATTTTCATGTATCATTGTGTGTGTCTCACAGTAGTGTGTGTTGTCCTCCTCTGGTGGAGGTGTAACATCTAGTACAGTCCAGTGGAGGTCAAAGGTCATGACGGGCTGCTGCAGGGTTTGCCAGGTCACAGCCTCACCTGCTGAGGGGAGGAAACCCACCCTCTACACACACACACACACACAAATAAGGTTGATGAAACAAAGAAATCAAAGAAATAAAAATGTATTTGAGAAATCTTAATGATTGTGTTTGTGTGTGTTGTCTCACCAGAGTGGGGGGTGTGTTGGGGCTGGAGCAGCAGACAACCATCAGGTCCTTCTGTACTGTCAGCAGCTTCCAACTGCCGAACACTTTGGAAAGATCAGGAAGACCTGCAGGGGAGAGGAGGGAGACACAGAGAGGAGTAAAGGAGGCAGAGGAGTGGTGTACAAATTATATGGTCTTAAAATACTCCATTACAAGTAAAAGTCCTGATTCAAAATTCTGTACTCATTCTGTTCAATGAGCCATTTCAGAATAATATAACGAACATTATTTGTATCAGCTAAATTTACTTAAAGTCTCAAAAGTAAGAGTAGGCCTACTTGTGACGCTGAATGGATGTTTTCACAGTATTACATTATTATGGTTATTATATTATCCTATGTATATACATGTAAGAGCATTTTAGTATTGTAGTTTGTCAATGTGGACCAAATTTAGATACTTGAAATACTGTGTGGATTAGTAGTACACTATAACAGCGCCATTGTGACGTTACCTAGCAACCAGCAACATGACAACACCACCCAGCAACCGTCAACATGGTAACGTAACCTTAACAGCATGGTGACGTCATCCATTAACTGGCAACATGGTGAAGTTACCTAGCAAGCACCAACATGGTAGCATTGCCTAGCAACATGGTGACGTTACCTAGCAAGCAGCAACATGGTAATGTTACCTAGCAACATGGGGACATATGCAAAGTACCTCAAATTAGTATTAAAATACATTTAGTGGAGTCAAAGGTACGCTATTTGACTCTGAATAGTTGTGGAAGTATAAGGTAGAGTTAAATTGAAATACCAAAGTAATGTACAAATATGTCAAAAAGTAGTTAAGTACAATACTGGAGTAAGTGTACTTGATCCACTGAAAGCCAGAACATGGTGATGACACAGGAACCAACACAAAGATAAAGGTCTGTTAAAAGTTTATAAAGAGAATTTTGAAATGATATACCCTTATTAAATTGTATGAGTGTTGATGATATGTCTAGCACTTGTTTATCCAAATCACATTAAAAAAAACATTTATTCTCAATAGCTCAATAGTCTATATAATCGTTTAGCTCCAGCAATAAAGTATTTCATTGTTAATGCTTCTTGACGCTCAGTGTTGCTCCTGAGGTGTTCCTTTTGACTTTGACTTTTGAAAGTCCCCGATGGGATGTTTTGATGGCAACATTTAATTTGTTGGTCTTATCGTACCTTCCTGTTCTCCATTGTGCTCCTGATGATGAAGATGAGAAGGTGGAGGAGGAAGGAAAGAAGGAGGATAGGGAGGAAGAGGAAGATCAGGAGGAGGAGGAGGAGGAAGGTGATAGTCAAAATAAGATGGAGGAAGTGGAAGTGGAGGAAAGGGAGAAGAGGGAGGTGAAGGATGAGGGTAGAAGAGAGTGAGATGAAGATGAGTTGACAATGGAGAGAGAGGAGCAGCAGGAGGAGGGGGAGGAAAGGTAGGATGAGGGAGAGAAGCATGAGATGGAGGAAACCAACAGGGGGAGGGAGGAGGAGGCGGAAGCAGAGGAGACACAGGAGGAGGAGAGAAAGGAGAAGGAGGAGGAGGAGGAGTTTGTGGAGGGAAAAAAACTGATGAAGATGAGGACAGATGAGAGAGAGGAGGAGGAGAGGAGGGACTCTTACTATCAGAGAGGGAGGTAACTTTATTTGATTGTCTGTCCACCATATAGAGATCCTGAGAAAGAGAAGAAAGTAACAAATGAGGCATGGAAACTGAATATAGGATGTCATGATGACCACAAAATAATAATACAATAAAAATAGTTTTTTCTGCATGTCTGCCAGATGTTTTTGAAATGCACTAAGCTGCATTCTGGCAGAGATCAATACCATAAATGTCTGTGTATTGATTAAGTAGCAAGAGTCAGGAGGAGGATTAGTTCAGGGTAGCTTAGCTTAGCATAATGACTGGAAACAAAGGGTAACGTCTAGCCTGGCACTGCCGAACAGTAACAAATGTAAACCTCTGAAGCTCAATGGTCACAACAAGCAGATCGAATACACACATGATTAATAATAAAGCATGTAAACATGTTGTTACCTTCCAGTTCCTGCGGGCGCTGCTGAACACCACTCTCTGACTGTCGGCAGACCAGCAGCAGGGGGGCAGAGCCTCATACACACCTGCAAACTCACCTGAAACAGAGACACATGGAGAGAATTATTCGTTAACTTTAATTTTGATATCACTTTTAATGCTGGTCCTTCACCAAGCAATCTCACTCTCCCTAGATCAGCTTTTGTACCCTGCTTTGTTAAAGGCTCCTTACATTTGTTGATGCACCTGCCCAATTAACTTCATTCTAGCTTAATAAAACAAACTAAAATAGTTACAAGTCAGGTATTTTCAAGCCATTATCAGGAGTGACATGAAGAGAAAGTGACCATTTCGAAAATTGCATTAATAGCTGTGTTGAAGGAAGTGCCATATTAAACAAGGGACGATTATAGGAATATGATATTGTCCACCTGACTCATCCAGAGTACAGCACTAGTATATAGTAACCTACCAGTCAGTGGTCTGTTGACAACCTCCAGCAGTGTGGATGTCTTCCTGCTCCTCAGGTCCAACTGTGGAGGGTTAACAGTCAACAGTCAAAGTGTATTTTCATGTATGATCTTTGCCTATTGTTTTAATTTGTGCTTTTTAATATTGGACAAAAGTCAATGTCTGTCATATGAAATGTGCTAGATAAATTCACTTGTAAACACACACACACACACACACACACACACACACACACACACACACACACACACACACACACACACACACACACACACACTTCCCAAAGATATTGAAGTGACTGTTATTTTGTATATATTGATTGTTGTGCTTTTATTTATGTCTTAATGGGTGCATATGTATAAATGTGTCTGTTGATTGTGTATATATAGGCTATACATATTTTATACATATTTTAGTGGGAATGCTGTTAACAGCATTCCCACTAACTGTTATTCTACGCACGAAAAGTTTATTATTATTCCGCCGACTTAAGTTGGCCCTCTTTTCCTCCCGCATTGAACATCGCAGAAACTCCGTTCAAACATCAAAACGTTCAGCTTGGTCGGGAATCGATGGCTATTACTTTTCTCATTCATAACTTTCATAATTCCAGAGATACATCCCATAATACATCACATTTTTAACATTGAAGTCAATGGAGAAAATCTTCAGACTTCAACAAATCTTCATGCAATTCAACTACTAACTGTTCATTCACACTTTCACTCAGACACCTCATTCCAACTTTAAAATGTTACACATCTTTCTGACATTATTCGTGTAAAACAACTTTTAAATCAGATTCTTACTTTTAGAGATATTAANGTAGCCAGGAACTGGCTCTGGAACCGGTTCGGTGGAAAAGGGGCAATACATTTGGATTTAAGCCAAATCAATGAGGCGAACCTATGGACTTGAATGAGCCTGTATTGCCCCTTTTCCACCGAACCGGTTCCAGAGCCAGTTCCTGGCTACAGCCTGGTTCTTCCTATTTCCACCGCATTGGAGCCGGCTCTAAGCACCGAAAACTGGTTCTTAGCTGGCCCCTCTCGGCTGCCCTGCAAGAACCTAGAACCAATACTTCACGCTTACGCCGGAGCAATAACAGTTAGTGGCGAGTACGGCAAATAAAAGTTCTAACAAGCAGTAGTGCTGAGCAAAGTTACCAGAACGTGACCACACACTTAGAAAAAGTGCTGGGCACCGTTGGTGGGGGCGGAGGGAAACAGTGATATATATATTGTTACTTTATTATTATTATTTTTTTATAATTTTATTTATTTAAATATTATTTCACATTTTAATTTGCAATGTTGAATGTTCAATAAAAAGTTCTGTTTGAAAGGATGTACTTGAATTATTATTATCATTATGTCAGTGGTCTAAAATGGCCTTACAACGGTGCCGACAATATTATCGTTTATCGTAATAATTTCCGGGAAAATGTTTCGTCCCACAAAATTAATTATCGTGACATGCCTAATGTGAGTGCAAAGGTAGTTATTAATAGGAACACACCATGCAACTCTTTTGACTTTACTGTACAGTACAGTAAATGATCCAGCTTTTATCCAGTGAGCCCAACTGTAGTGTATTTCACAAGCAGCTGCAGTTGTAACATATTTTCTTCTACTGTCACTATTTTTTCCGCAATATCACATACAGAAGGGCCTTTAAATGAAAGTCGGGTATGAGGTGCTACATTTCTGGGCCGCAGCAGAAACTCAGCAGCTTTGGCTCGGCTGAAGATACCTTCCATCCTAATTGCTTTGTTTTTGCTGTGTAGAGAAAAAGCAGAATTGCAAGTCGGACACAAACAAGAACAATTGGCTCTGCTCATTTTACACATTCTAAGCTCAAAAATAATCAGGCATCCAGTTACCAATTTAGCTGCTTTTGATTTCCTCTCTAGAATCTTCTAACTACCTGAGCGTGGGTGGAAACAGCAGAATGCTATCAGAAAAGATTTGGCTTGGTAACTGTATATTTGTGATAGACACTAAGTTGTACCTAAAGCAGAACTTGACACTGTTGCCATTAGTCCTCAAATAATAATATTAATGCTAGCAAGAAAGTAACTCACAACGTCCATTTTCTATGTCAGTAAAGTGACCCCTGTTTTACCTCAACTGCCCTGGTTGACCTGTACATGCACACACACATACACACACACACACACACACACACAGTCTGACCATTCTGGATGGTACACACTGCATAAATGACCACTTTGGGCTCCAGTAATCCCTCCAACAGTAGAAAGTCCTGATCCAGCAGGATCCTCAGGGTTAAGCTTTGCTCTTACCCTCCTGTTGTGTTCAGTGAAACAAACTGACGCACTCTTCCTAATACACACAGGCTGTCAAAACATTAAACACAAATTACCTCCCGTTACTAATAAAAACATAAAATGTTTCTGTTATCTGCAATTTCCTGAAGCCATGTCATGATAATTAACGTGAAGAGTATCAGCTCCTGTGCGAGTTTGATCATAAAACATGACAGTGGCATGTCGGAGACCAGATCTAAAAGGAGATGTTGAATGAAGTAACAGTGCTGACATTTGTATTTGAAAGTCACACTGCATATAGTTACCAGGCAAATAAGTCATATTACAGTTTCAATATGACATGCTGGTTATTTATGTAAATCGGAAGAGTTCAGTTTACAGTTGTGAAAATCAGTTTGGATTCAGTGTCTCGGTTAAATGCTTCATGAAAGAAGACTTAAGTTCTCAGTGTTTCCTTGGACACACTTTTGCCATTCTTCCCGATGTGTGTGAGTGTGCAGAAGGGTCTGAGTGCGTCAGAGTTTGTCTGCATAAAAGAGGAACTCTCCTGGTGTACAGTTACTGACCGAGAAAGACAGCTGAGCAGAGGCAGCGTACAGTCAGCTTCTCTGAACCTGCTATGAGTCACTGCTGGGAAATGGCCTCCAGCCAAATTCTGGTTAATTCTGGATGTGTCCAGTTAGTGTTTGGTCTTTCACTTCTACAGATAACCAGCTGTAGTTTGTATAAAGATCACAACTATTACAACTGGTCTTTCCGGGACTTGAACTGGTGACCTTCCAGTTGCCAAGCCAAGTCACTATGGGCTTCGCCACCACCGCCCGCTTGTACATAATGACACTCCAGTTAATGGCGTCTTTACTATTTGCAATAGGAGGAAAATAACAAAAGAACTACAACATTTTGACATTTAAGGAAGGGAAAACCTGTTGTTGCAAAACAACATTGTGGCTTCTTCTTTGGAATTTCTAAATATATATTTTTGACCTGACGTTGCTCATTATTTCCTTTTTTTCTACTAGCTTTTCTGCACTTTTTTGTCATTGTTCAGATGAGGTCATTTTAAATCTCCTTTCACCCAGTCTGAAAGCAGTACCCTTGTTTTTATGTTGTATTGTAATTCTGGCTTTATTTATCCAGATTTGCTCTTTTGACAAACCCTCTAAAAGCAGAGCTAATATGTAACCGAGACTCCAAAGTGTGACTTGTACATTTGTATTAATATAACTCATCCCTTGTGAAAATATAACCATATCACTGCTGTCTTTCATTATTCCCTCGTCTCACTATTTCCCTATTCATCCTTTTTTTCCTCCAGGTATGAAAAATGGGGTGAAGGGGGAGTCTGGAGCCAGCGACGATGAGCTGACGTCTGATATTCTCAGCCACTGCAGCAGTGCCAGTGAAAGCACCGCTGTGCTGGAAGAGGGCACAGGTTTGTACAGAAATGCTGATAATACATACCTAAGCTTTGTACAATCATATTTATTATGGATAAAAGGAACTGCTTACATTCACAAAATCAAATTGATATAGCTAGCATTTTATAGAGTATCTTAAATTCCTCTGATTCCACGCTAGCCCCTTTATTGGCGGTGATTCCCACCAAACTGAAGTCTTAAAGTAGCATACTTTTGACCAAATCCTGCGTGTGTTGACACAGGAGCGGAGCAGGTGGATGAGCTGACTGCCCAGGAGGAAACGGAAGACAAACTCAAGCAGTGTATAGACAACTTGATGGATAAGAGGTGAGCTTTTATTCATTTTTTAAAATAATGAAAAAGGGGAAAAGTCAGGAAGACATGCAACACCAGGCTGTTGTCAATTTTGTTTCCAACACAAACCCTGGTCTCTCCTCTCGCTCCATGTCCCAGCTCTAAGACACGTCTAGCGGGTCTGGAGTCGCTGCGTCAGGCTTTTTCCTCCAAAGTGCTGTACGACTTCCTCACAGAGAGACGCCTCACCATCAGCGACTGCCTGGAAAGAAGCCTTAAAAAGGGTAAGATGGGGAAAAAACACCTGCTAGTGCAAAAATGTCATCCTTTTTGTTTCTAGGAGGAACAGAAAAATAGCTGCAGTTAAACAAATACAACTTTTTCTACTCCCTCCAGGCGGCGTGGAGGAGCAGGCAGCGGCGGCCACGCTCTTCACCCTGCTCTGTATCCAGTTGGGGGGTGGAGACGAGGCAGAAGAGGGGTTCAAAGTGCTCCGCCCCATCCTCACTGCAATTCTGATTGACAGCACTGCCAGCTTAGTGGCCCGCCAGAGTGTGAGTAACCTTCTCTGCTGTTGTGCAAAACTTAAGATATGGAGTCATCTGTTATTTAAAGCAACTCCAAAAAGAGAAAAAAGGAATGAAACTGGCCCAAACTAGGCTTGGACGGTATTACGGTATACCAGGGTATTTCGAAATCCCGTCGGTATGATTTTCAATACCGTGACGTCACAGACTGTGCGCCAATGCGTTTCATTCTATTACACTGACACAGAGTTTTGACAGGGACGACATTGGTTGTAATGCACAGCACGCGCCAGCAGAGGGCAGGGGAGGGCAGTCCGTCTTTCCCACTCTCAGAGCTCAGCACAGAGCTGAGCTGAGCAAGATGGCGGCAGCATTTGCCGGCCCCGAACTCGGACAACTAGTAAAAAAGAAAAATGCCTCTGCGCCTGTTTGGGACTATTTTGGGTTTACTCGTCGTCAGTGACTTCATCCAGCACAACGAGAGACAGAGGCACTTCTTTGGGAATGTTTAAGACGGGGTGAGTGAGTGTTGACATTTTTTAATCCTATGCAACTGGTTGATGGTTTTGTAGTCGAGGTCGGACGGTTTTAAAAACGAAAGCATTTACGTGCTAAACATTCACGCGAGTAATCCAATGAATCAAATGGAAATAAGGTTTTTAACACATGCACGGAATAATATTGCCAAACTAGTTAGTGAATATAGCAAACTTTATTCAATAAGTCAAGTATTTACTCCCGGAAAATGTTTATGTATGATGATATATTGTTAACTTAGCTCACTATGGAAACAACGTCGGACATCTACAAACGCGTCCTGTATCCGATCTCAAAATGTGCCATTTGCACAATGTGTCATGTATGCAGCCCTTGTTTTGCACTTGCGCGCANACACCATCTGGTCTAGAATACCATCTGGGGTAGTGGGACCTGATGGGATGACCGTCCAGACAGTCTCTACGATAGCGGTCAACAATAAACGTAGTGATTGTTTTTAATTGCGTGTGTCTCCTCTTCTCCGAAAACCCACTAATAAACCTCTCAAAAATAAAAGAGTCAATAAGGCGACTTCCTTTTTCTCTTTTTTGTATTAAAACCCCAAATTGAAAAAAGAACATTTCTTTTTTCCCTAAGGAGATCCATAGGATTTCTATTTCCAGTGGAATACGTGGAAAGTAAACTGAACCTTTCATTTACTGTCTTACAATTTTTAAATCGGACCAGAAGGGAGCGGAGTAAAGAAAGGGACAACCGACGTTCTTAACCCTTTTTTACAACTGATGGATCATAAGTCGTCAATACTTTGTATCAACTAAAATTCTAGAGTTTTCCCTTTACAATGGGTCTAACTTACTACAAAAACACAACTGAAGAGTATTAACCGAAGGGTCCCAGCAAAATCTCGGGCGGCCCGATTGGTGGACTTTCTGCTTATCTTCTTCTAGAACATGTCGGATGATTTTTTTTTTTTATTTTTTTACGAGGTATTTAATTTTCCTAATGTTTTATAATCGATTTCAGGTGAACACTGGGACCCGCTTACTTATAATAGTTACTTGTTTCCGGAACAGTTGAGTTAACCTAGTTAACACCCATAAACTTACATGAGTAAATAGGCTATTTATCTTTTTAATTGAGACCGTTCGGCGTCTAAATAAAAAACACCGGGATGTACTGAGGCACGTAGGTTATGCTGAAAAATTTCCTACCGTGAACAACGTACGGACAATATATTATTATATATATATAATATGTATAAATGAATGCGAAGTCAGCGTTAGGGACGGTTGGTAACAACCGCCTGCAAACGGTCGTTGTTCCCATGACGAAAACCGAAAATACTACCATCGAAGTGTAGGAGGCCATCGCCCGAGTACTTAAGTAAAAGACGAGTGGAGGCGGCTTTTATTAACGAGCCCCAAAGGAGTAATAAGACTAATCCAGGCTAGTCAGGTTTTGTGGGGAAAATACACTTCGCGTGGATTGATGCTGACCGTGGGCCGGAACCTCGCAGGTGAACATTGGGCGTAGCATCCCTGGCAAATCGCTCTCACCGTGCCATACAAAACCTAATAGGGTTGCGATTGAGTTGACCCCCCATATGATGGCTTATCTTCCTAAGCAAATTTTTTTTTTCCGTTCTATTTAAGGACCCTAAAGGCCATGATGCTCGACCAAGTGAAAAATCGGCCGCATCTAGAGGGTACCACTAACATAGGGACCTTGGATCATACCACGAGGCTTCGTCCTAATCGCAAGGTCCTATCTCTCTAGTTGAGGTACGGGGAAAAGTGTGTGTACGCAAAAAGAGTTCGCGGAGGCCGGAGCCTCCGACCTCGGGACTTTTCATGGCAAAAAGGACGAAATTGGGCGTCACCCGCGCGGAGACATCGAGGCCTTAGGCCAATGTGAAAGGGTCCGAGGTTTTTTAAGGGCCGAGATCTCGCTGTTCTCGACAGCCCCGAAATTCGTCCCGCGGCGTTTGCAGGAGGGGCCCTCTCCTTCCTCATGGTGGCGATGTTGTGCAGCACAACACAGGCCATTATAATGCAGCATGCTCTTTCAGGGGCCACTCTGAGCCCCCTACTGAAGCCTTCCGAGTAAATCGCCAGAACGCGACACTTCATCATTACTCCACCGCTCCCATGTTTTCTTTTGTGTTGCTATAAGTTAGTCTCTCTGTGTTTGTGCGCTGGGCTAATGATAATGCTAATGTGAGGATAATAAAATGGCGGCTTCACAAAACCTTTTTGGAGTTTTACGGGGCGTGGTTTGCATTCCGCCCAGCCAATCAGACATAGGAACCTTTTTCTCCCACGAAAGAACCTGCTCTCCAGCAGGGACGGAAAAGGGGGTAAAAAAGGTTCTGATGAACAGATTTGAGTTCCGGCTCTTTTTGGTGTGAACGCAACATTTCGGAACTATATCGGAACTAAAGTGGGAAAAGATCACCCAGACTTCAATGTGTGTTCTAGTGAATGTGCAAGATTTACCTGAATGTTGAGGCTGTGGAATGATTTGCGATTCACATAGTCGCCTTCATTATCTCCCAGGGACGCATAGATCGGTATGTGTGTACAGTCGATACAGCCAAGCACCCTGGGAAACCCTATGTTATAGTAGGCTGCATTTATTATACAATAGTGTACGTCATAGGAACAACATTAACTGTAAATATATAATCACATATCAATATCTGCCATGTTCTAAAATCCCTCTTTGATCGTCTGTGCCAGGAGACACAACAAAGGACTCTGCGGGCCCTGTCAGAGCATGTGCGACCTTATGAATGGCACTGCAGACTGTATTCTTGCTTAGGTTCTCTGCATCCCCCACAGCATAGAGAAAACTGCTGGTTGCAAAGTATCGTAAAGCAATACATACAGTCTGCGGCACTGTAAGGGCACAACTCCGATGTGTGGCATTAGCAATATATGGCTATACATATGGCAACACACATATCTTTAATGTATTTCTACATTTATTTGTTAATAACATTAGATTTTTCTGGAACAGATGTGAAAAATTAATGGTTACTTCTGGAACAAAATCGCATGTGTGGTGAAGATGGCGTGAGTTGGGAGAGCGGTCGAGGGCGGCCAACACGAGTACAGAGTACCTTTTGTTTTACTGGTGGCCAGTCTTAGGTAGACACACCCCTACACCTCTGGGGGATGCAAAACAAAAATTGGTGACAGTAAAAAAATAATAAAATAAAATAATTTTAATAAATAAATAATAAATATTCTTTGTAAATAAAAATGGGTAACAATACAAATATACTGTATACTGTATTTTTTTTAATAAATAATATATTAATACAAATGTAATAACATTTTATAAAAGCATAAAATAAAAAAATCATAGTACAACATAATAATAAAGATATACAATAAAGTTTGATAAAAAATACAATACATGAATAAAAAATAATAATATTGGAATAAATACATACAAAGTAATATAATAATAATGAACAAAATAATAATAAATAAATAATTAAATAATACTGTACAATAATATTATTTAAATTATAGTATTAAGAAAAATAAGAAAAAAATACAAATAAAACATTTCTAAAATCAATAACAGATGTAGGTGCGGGTCTGCCTGGGTAAAATAATGGAAGTAAAAATAAACTTTGGAAGTTACCCCACCACCTCGGAAAGATTTAGTAAATAAAGATCTAACTAGCAGACAACTGTTTGGTTAGAGCAGGCAGACCACAACCAAAAATGATCTGGGAGTGTGCGTTAAAATCCCGAGAATTAACACTGTACTTTCGGTGGGAATGTGGGTTGGAGAAATATACATATTTATACAAAAATAAAGAATTCAATAATTAAACCAAAAAAATACATAACATAACAAAATAAAAAATAGATGTATCTTTGTAAAGAATCTTTGTAAAAATGTTTTTATTATAATTATTTAATAAAATAATAATAAAATAAATAAAATATAATAATTGTTCAAAATACATGGGAATAAAATAGTGTTCAAAATAAAATAAAATAAAATATGAATTAGCCTCGGCGCAGTACGCAACATCACTACTCTATACTCCTGTCCAATAGGTGGCGCTCATGCAACTCTAAACTGGTTTGCCAACTGCAAATAAATACTAAAGAAGAAGCAGAAGAACACAAAAGCCTCATCCCAATACCCCTCCTCGACTCCTCTCTTCCCCTCCTCCGGGACTTGACCCGGAAATTGATCAAGACACGCCATGTTGAAGGACGGAGGAGTCGAGGAGGGGTGAGGGAGGAGGGATGCGGGACTCGGGAGGAGACGAAAGGGAGGATACACGCGAGCAGACTACGCGGAAGTGTTTTCACTACTCGCGTATAAAAGCCCCGCCCCCACCTTCACAGCTGGTCGATTTCAACAGAGGATGAGTGGAAAAGCGTCAAAAAATGTAAGTGCTCACAGCTCCGTGGGAATTATTATGTGCAATTCATTTCTAAAAGGCTTTCACATTACTATAATTATATTTTTATTTAAAAGTTGGCTACATTTTACACCAA